AGGAAAAATTGAAATCGCATCATATGACCCCTTTAACACATTTTTAAATGAGGAAGTGTGTTTATTGGCATATTAGTTATTGATATAAACATATTATTAGCATATTAGTAATCTATATTAAATTAGGATCAAGAATTTTCACTGGTATTGATTACTGAAACTGCATTATTGTATAAGTAGAACAATACAGTACAACAAAACATGGCAGAAAACAAGCAGGACAACATTCCTCAGCACCCTATGGAAACAATGACAAACATTGTGCTCACCTGTAGATGACGTATACAGATCTTTCTGATTGCTGCTGCCAAAAGGATTGACTGAGGGGAAAATGATCAGACAGAAAGAAAGCAGGAACACCTGAAAAAGTGACAACAGAAAAGGTCAGGAAACACGTCACGCTGCCATTATATTAAGACAGAAAGTTCACATTACGTACTGGTGAAAGATTACACTCATGCATCATATTACATTTATGATCAATACATATGTGTTCAAATAAAACCAACTCAACAGAAGTACAACCCCACTGATAGATTACAATTCTATATAATCAAAATACTTACCATAATACAAGTGCTAGTCGTGGTGGTTTTTATCGTGGACATTTTCACCATAGCCTGCAGTTTTCTCAGCTGTTCAATAAGGGACCTTAGAAAACCAACAATTGTTGTTAGTAGCAATTACGTGTAATTATAATCTTATAAACACACGATGAAGGCTTACATGTTTTGTTTCTGCAGCATCTCAACTTTCTTCTGTAATTCCTGATTGTGAGCAGTGCAGATCGCAACCCTATGGTCATACACAATATTATTTCAATTACTTAAAACTAAGTCATTTACAAAAATATTCCAATTTACACTATTGTTTAAAAGTTTGGGGTCAGTATGATTTTTTTAAGGAAATGAATACTTTTATTCAGCATTAAATTGAACAAAAGTGAGAGTGAAGACATTTTTGAAGAGTTTTTCTCTCTACACTAACCTGTTCTCTAGGCCATCAACATAAACTTTCTTCTTCTTGCGACTCTCCTGAGCAGACTGCTTATTCCGGATCTTTCTCCTCACCCTCTTCAGGGTCCGTTCCTCTGCCTAAAGACACACAGCATTTTAGCTAACACTATCATGTTACGTTTCAAAATGTGTTGCATGGCTTCAATATGAAACCATCATAATTCAGAAACCACTTCTTTTACCTTTGTAAGAGGCATATGAGCTGGAATGGTTGCACCTTCTTTCGCCAGAAGTCTCCTCTCCTCATCAGTCAAAACAATCTCTTTGAACTGGAACTGGAGACAAAATATGCACATTATATCTTAGTTGTCATGGTAACAATCTGCTGATTTCTTAAAATCCTTTGAAATGTACCTGGCTGTCTGGTTTGCTGCTTTGTGTGGAGTCAATCGTGAGTGAGCAGGGCAGCTCTGGGGAGAAGCCATCATCCATGTCCATATCCAAATCATCTGACAGGAAGAAAATCAATCTTAAGATGGGATACTTAAGCCATTTGAACAAAAACCAAAAGAAGAATAATTCATATGTCTCTACACACCACACCAAGACCTTACCGACATCTATGAAGACATCAGACTCCGGGTTCTCTGATCGGACGCTCAGCAGGGCGTCTGTGTCCTGTGGGAGGGTGTAGCAGTGGTCTGTCTGCACCACCTGGGCCTCGTAGCTC